GCAGACATTTGTCACTGGCACTCTGAAACCGAATATCACCTAGTTTAATTCTTTGCAACATCACTATCAATGAGAATTTAAATCAAAACTTGAATGTGCTCATAAATTTTATGAAATATTTTAGATTTAAACGATGGATATTTATTAATAAAGTTCTGTTTCAAATAGTGCTTAACCAGCTCATGTCCTTCAAAACATACTTTAAGTTTAAGCTAAAATAAAAGTTATTAAAAACAGTTTTCTTTATTAGAGGCTAAAACATCATCAAAATATACCGAAAATGCTTTGAATTTCAGCAAAATATGCATAATAAGTAACCATAAAATCTTGTTGATATGCAAAATTTTGAAATCTCTACAATAACTTACGAAGATCGGTTACTGCTGTCTGGCCCATATTGCCACCAGTATGTTAGATAAGAACAAATAAGTGGTAAATCAACGTCATACGTGGCTGGTTGATCGCGATAACTAGCACCAGACTGACCTACTTGCTCTAGGTCACTCAGTAATTTTTCCAGTTGCGGAATATGAGCAGATAAGTTTTGCAGCATTTCTGTAAAATTTAAGCTGACACTTGAAGAACTATATTTATCGCGATGAAGAACTATATTTTTAACACTGTGCAAAATGAAAATTTCTGATAAATGGTTTCGAAAATGTTTACGGTTTATTCGTAACATTTCCACTAATAATCAAATTTGTAAGTTTTTTTTTGAATGGGTAGACCTTGTACTTGTACGGACTGATCTTGAGACTTGGCAAGTACTGAATATTTGTTATTTTTATTAAATTCAGCTTCCAAAAAGGCTACTGGAAAGCAACCAGCAAATGCCGCAAGGCAATGACCAAGAGCTGGACGATGTCTGCAATAACTGGCATCCTTAGCAATTCATAATTTTGTAAATAAGACACAAGTCGGATTGTAGAATTTTCGCACATCAAAAACTGATATATTTTTCAAGCTTACAATACTTTTGCCATGTTTTCAGTTTAAATATTATCTTTTTGAGAATTTTTAGTGATTTTAGGAGGTTGATGGTGCTCATACTTTTCCATTTCAAAGGCGATGGACTTTCGCTGAGATGTCGTTGCGGCCAAACTGTTCAAGAGATAAGCGCTATCAAGAATCTTATAGCATGCCGCTTGAATTTCATCTACTGCAATAGCATTTTCCATAATACAGACATATAGGAATATTTATGGTTTCATCGAACCAAACAAGGCGAAAGTGAAAAATATTCACTTTGCCTATTTTTGTTGTCTTTTTATTGCGTGAACCTTATTTGTGATAAGAACTTATAGGGAAAATCCTGCTGTATGACAGTACTTTCGTCATATTTCATACATTTTTGGCAAGTAACTTTTTCATATTTGGTTATTGCATTAATTTCGCATGTAGATTTTGCGAAAAAGGAAATAAAGTGACTAACATAGCAAGTCACAGCCAAAATGATTTTGCGCCAAATGTGCAAACATTGTGGTCAAAACAGGAATGATCATCTGATTCGCGAATTCCAAAGAGCACCAAGATGTCAAATTTTGACCTCTTAGCAGTGAATATTGTCCGCCATTTTGCAGTTCTTTAACACCGAAATACAAGTCATCAGCACAGTTGTTGAAAAATGTCAACAAACCAGTACGTACAATATCTGAATTCATTTTCACCAATGTTCTGCAAATAAATTTTATAAAATTTGGTACGTTCTAAAGCATATTTTTTTAAAGTAATGGTGTTAACGCGTGGAAAATACCTCAGGTCGAGTGCTTGAGTGAGTCCTTGCAAGCAGCGCACTGTTATTTTTGCAACGCTGCCGAATGCATGGTTTTTAATTCGAAGTAGCGATGCCAAACGACAGAATAAACTGTAATTTGCAAAGAATAAATATTTTACCAAAAAGTAAAATTCAGATCTATCTAATAAATTTAATAAACTTATTCTCGGAAAAGAGAAAAACTATGCACACTGGTACATTACTTTAATTATGCATATTAAAGTAAATTTGTCTTTGTGAAAAGCAATTCATAAATTTAAGAAAAAAGAATTTTGAATACAAGAACAGAAATGTAACGGTCAGTGCATATGATGTAAGTTCAAATGTCAAGAAGTTTACTTCGTAACCATTTCTTTTTCTTTATCAGATGCGGCTCCAGTCTGCACAATACTACTGCTGGCCAAGAAGTAGTTTTTGTGAGCATTGAAGTAAGTATGCATTAACGGTAATACTACCTGTAATGGGCAATAGACTGGTAAATATGTAAATGAGACTGCAGAAAAAACGTGAACGAATAAAACCTTTTCGAAGAATTTCACATCTTGGCCTTCTTTCTTGAAACTGTTGCGACGAGTCAATTCTTGACTTGGCTTGATTGTCTTCATTTTCGTTGATGCTTGCTCCAGATATTGAATTAGCTTCTCCAACAAATTGTATGCAAATCGTTTCTCCACCGAGCCACGTTCACTTTCCGTTTTTATACGTTCAGATGATGGTTCTATCTTACGAGGACTGTAAAAAATATTAATATTAACTTTCAAATAAAAGCCTATGGCACTTATGTTATTAATTCATATTTCAACTCCTACTGCAAGAATAAAAAAATTATTGTCCATAGTTTATTTTGCTAGAATTAAACTTTTTGAAAAGCCATGAATGAAACCTCCAAATACGATATCCATGGTACTGGAAAAATTTCAGTATTTCGGCTGCACGAAAACGATCTTTTCGTCGTTCAAAATCAGTCAGTAAATCCCAAGGCACCAGCTGTGGTGGCAATGTTCCTCCTCTACTTAGATCGGCGAGCATCTGCAAATATACAACAATTATTATCAAAGTACCATGTTTTTAAAAATATTGCACTGATTTTATTTCATTGATTAACTCGTGAATTTTATGTGCAAAAATAATCGGAAAATTCTTGCAGCCCGTGTAATAATCTGACAATTTCTGCAGCACGTAGAATTTCAATTTAGTTTGTGCTTATGTTTAGCAACCTTTCTTGCCCAAATGTTATGCGACTGTTCAGCCATTTTCTCAGCAATGCCCATCATATCTTTTTCCAAAGTCATATTTGATAAATCCACTGCTTTAGGATTGAAGTTCTCCACTGCAAATTGCCTTGTTATCATTCTTCAAACTCTTACAGTTAATCACTTGCAGTATTTGCTTCACTGATAATATACCCCAATCTTTAGTTTGCAAACTAAATTCAACATAAATAAAGTCATTTTTTGTTCTGAAAAATCAATCTGTATGATTACTAAAGATTTAGTTTACCAGATGTGACAATTATGATTTTGTAAGCTAGTCCTCGGTTTTACAAATAATTGAAAAGTTCTCCAGTATTTTTGGTTTATAAAACTCACTGGAAGTGGATAATGAGCTACTGTTTTGAGCTGCTTTATCGGCTGCATCGTAATCTGTCAACTCGATCGAATAATTCCAAGCGAGTAGAGCACGCACACATTCTGCGCAACGTTCTTGATAAAAATTCTTCTCCTAAAATAAATTATTCACAAGGATCTGACCTTCACCAACATTAATTGCTATATTTATTCATAACTTTTATTATTCTTATGCATCAAACGTTTGCCTCTATTCTTCATCATTTTTATCCAAACGAAACCTACGAAGTCAAGCAGTAATGCAAAGGGCTTCAGTCTCGGATGCGTTTGGCTTTGACGGGAATACAATTCACCAAAAGTCCAGCCTTTGTCAAGCTAAAGACAATAAAATTGATCTCAATTACGCTTCTATTAATAGAAATATTATTTCAATTTCTGTGGATTAATTTTGGAAAAGGACATTATTACATTAAATATATATACAACTAAAAACATTACAAAATAAAATAGTTTAATTACATCATAAAAAAAGCAACGAAAAAAATCACAACTTTGCAAGATTACTTATTTGAGCGAAATGCTCAAATTTATTATTAGCTTTTCAAGAACAGTTTTTTCCTTCAGTTTATAAAATGAATTTGGCTACCTTTCTGCTAGCCCACGAGTTATGAAAATGCTCCGCAAATTTTGAAATCACTGATTTTAGATCATCGCTCAAGCGAACCTTGCCCACATCTACAGGTTCCGGACTCCAAACCCCGCGATCGTTTGCTTTCTGGGTTTTATCCATGTCATCACTCGCTTTCGTCAACGTGTAATCTGGTGATAAAGCCGAGCCTAAAACCTTCCTTCTTTTAAACATTTAGATCCATATTTTGAATGCTTCGTAGCATATTAAATGATTAAACACAGTGAAATGAAATATTGTCACAGCATACGCTGGAAAGAGGACACTAAGTTTTTAGCATGCTCTTTCCTTGATCAGCAATTTAAATTATCAGTTATCAGAGTTGAAGGTACCAATAGCAGTCAGGCATGGAAGAGCACTGCCGAACAATTCTGGATCATACGGCTTGCTTCCTAATGAGTCAAAAATTGAGTAAAAAAGCAGCATAGACAATCTTTTCTCTGTTTCTGAAGCCATGCCATACATATTTCCTGAACCGTAATATTTTGTGCAGCGTTCGTAATGAAGCGTTAAAATCTGAAAATTAATTAATGAAAATGATTGATAATTCAAATGTTTGTAATAAAAGTATTCTTCATTTTCAGAATATCTTTTTTTTTCTATAATTTTTGTCTTATATTATTACATACTCTCAATGGCACTAAAACATTTTCCGTCATCTCTTGAATATCATTGATCACTTTTCGCATCAATTTAATCATCATCACAGGAGGGATTTCGCGAGTGATCGCGACTAAAAAGTCTGATACGGCGTCACGTTGATTCTTAGTCAGCGATCGTAAATGATTCATACGATATACCTCAAATTACGAAGCTGTTTAAATAAATCTAATCTGTTAAACATTTTTCCGGTTACAAGACTTTTAAAAATGTTCCGATTAGCTTCATTTAGATTATAAATCTGATGCATCGAATTCAATAATTATACTGTAAATAGTGATTTTAATTCTGTTTCAAGTATATTACATAGAAATTCAAAGTCAGCAAATGATGGAATTGCTATGTTACAAGTTTCAAAGCACTTTGAATGAATCTAAAAGTTTGAAGAACAAAGTTGACTAACTGTGTGTAATGTAGCATCAAGAAGAGCACTGTGATGTTCAGCATCTGAGAAGTAATACGAATGACTGGTGAGGAGTGGAAGAACAGCGTTACATAAGTAACGATTCAACGCCAGTGCTGTATCACTTTCCAAAGCACGTGGCTTAATCATTGATAATTTTCATTGTTTCATTTACTATTACTGAGATATAAAAATTTAAGTAGATCAGACTTGGTATCCTCTCCTAAAGCAGGTAGCATACAGATTTCGTTCTTTTTTTCAATATAACAACTACTACTGATATCTCAGTGCTGTATACTTTTCAGTAAAATTAGGACTAGAAGAAAAAATTGGAACAATTGTTTGTGTATTTTTTGAAATAAAAATTGCCCAACCGAATCCATCATAGTAGCAGCACGAAGATCAGGCAGAAAACTTTTCTCCAAGAATTGAAATAGCATTTCCTGGGAATCAATACCATAAACTCGATCCAGAAATAGAAGCACTGATTGTTTATGACTTGGTAGAAGACCTGGTAATGGTCCGGCATCTGTAATAAAGCACTGAATTCAAGTAAAACACAATTACTCTTCGATAATATCTACATGCACTTTTCTTTTTTTTAATGCCTTATCAGAGCTCAATTTTTAAATGCTAAATTGAATTCAGTGATGGTAAATATTTGAAAGTTAAGACAAAGTCAAGGATAAATTACATGCATTATTTCAAACGGGCTCACGTTTGAGTACAGTGCCCACACATCAATCACATCACACATTTAAATACACAGTCATTTAAAAAGTACTCGGCATGTGCTACTAAAATGTTAACAAATATGAAAGAGTTAGTAATTTGTTCAATTTTATGTACTAATTGAATGTTTTTAGCTTAATGAAATGAGCAAATTTTCATTTCTAGCAAATTAAAACTTTTAAAACAAATTTTTGCTACTAGTCAAAGTCTTTTGTTAGCATTTTCTAAAGTAAAAATTAATCATTTTTCACGTGAAATAAATGCTGAAGTGGATATCAGGGAGATAAATGAATAATAGCACTCACTGCGTGACTTTTCTTCTTGCGTTACTAACGCATCTTCAAATGAAACTTTGCCAGGCAAAGTTTTCAGTGGTGTTTGATACACACTTGGCGGGGATTTACGTCCAGCAGATGATGATGGTGACACTATGCAAGTTTGTGTAGATGCTGCCAAATATAACGAAAAAGATTCTGGATGTGAAAGGATTGTATTTTGAGAGCTCTTATAGGAAGCGGTAGTGTTTTGTTGAACTTCTACGACTTTTTCCGTCTTTTCTACAGCTATTTTAGAATCCTTGGTGGATGGAAGAGTTTGAGCACTCAGCAAAGAATCGCGCTTTATTGCAGACCACGTGGCAGTTGCATTTGCTGCAGAAGCATCATAGCATCTTGCTTGATTCTGATGCACCAAATGTGGTCGAGAAATACTTTTGCTTTCTTTAGATGGCCTCCCAAGAGAAGCAGAGTGGGAGGAAGCTGACTCAGTGTCTTTTTTTGCTTTTACTTGTGCTTCTAACACTGATGCAATGCTTGCATCTGGCAGCTTTGTTGACGAAAGACCTTGCTCGGTAAATTCATCTATTAAAGGCTTTTAGAGTAAACAGTTTCAATCCATAAAACTTGGAATTTGTTAATCTTTACACGAAACATGTTTGAAGGGTGAAAGGTGAGTGTTAGTGCTAACAACATATCATGAATAGCAATTTATGAATGTAATGAGTTAATTTTGTGGGAATGAAATTAATGAAAGCGTCAAGAGGAATCATCCAACTATCGGGACTCAGTGAATGACAAAAGTTAGTTCATTAATAAAAGTCCATCTCTTGATAAAGGAGCAATGGTTTAGACAAAGATTTGTAAATATTCATATAGTCTTATAGTCACTGAAACAATTAGCATACTTTTATCTACTGAAATTTTTAGCCGACAGTAATGTTTTCCATCTTTACTTTGAATTAATGCTTAGAAGTGATTACTGTGTAGTTTTTTTCGAAAAATATGCAGAGAAAAGTTTAAAAATATAACCATCAACTGGTGTGGATGAGATCAAGTTTGGAATTGTGAATCGTAGAGCTAGAATTTGTCCTAAGTCATCTAAGGAAATCAGCGAGCGCAATATAGCTCGAGCTCTCAAGCTATCTCCTTTTCCAGCCTAAAAAGATTCCCTTAGTTTAACTTATCAAACAATAAATCAAATAATATTTTCGCTCAAAAACTCCCTGAAAAAACTTACTTGTATATTAAGTTTATCTGGAGCACATTTAGCAAGCAAGTCGACAAGTGAAGAATAAAAATCGAGCGTTGCTGCCCCGAGATCAACGTAGTCTTCATCTTCTGCCTCCTTATTCGGATAATGTCTACAAATCAAGAATTTCTTTGAGACACGTCTAATTGCTATTGCTATTTTGATCTCTGCCCTTCACTTATTACTGTCTAAAAATTACTGCAAACTTTCTCAGTAAAGAAATACTGCAATGAGGAAAGACTTTACACTGATATAATGCTCAAATAGTAGTAAAAACAATTACTAGAGTAAAATAAAAATTATATGAATTATTTACGGTTGTTCACTTAGCAGTCCGCTGTGGAAAATGACACGATCTTCGTTCTCTTCTAATGCTCGAATATCCTCCGACAATGCAATCGCCTCCTTAAATTTTGTCACTTTCTATGCTTTTGTTCAGTTTAAATTTTTAAATTACCGCAAAACAATTTTAAGAGTTTCATAAAATCAGAAACACAATATCTGATAATTAATTACTGCAAATCTATAGTAGCTCTCATTTGTTCTCACTCCCAATTTCAAAATTTTGTCACATAGATTTAATTACCATTTAATTTTCTCGATCAAATTATTATTTTCACCGAGTTACCTTGAACGCAGAAAACAATCCTTGTCCTTCACCTTTGAGTGCAACACCTAGACATTCCGGTCGGCGGATTAACAATCGTATTACCAAATTGGCATTTTCTTCTACACTTTCTCCATTGATCCAAACACAAAATCTAAGGAAGTCAATATATCGTTCACCTTCAACGGGATCCCAACCGATATCTGGATAACCCTTGGCGATCAGCTCAGAATTCGGCTGCAGAAAGTTTACTAATATTTTGTAATTTTTCAAAAGCAACATTTTCCACTTCAAGCATTAATAGGATGAAACTTAATTGCGGAATTAATCTGGAATATGATTTTCTTACTTGCAGTCCACATCGACTCAAGTACACCGCCACTTTATCAAGTTCTTCTTCTTTCAGTGCTAAAGCTAGCTCATTATTATCCATGAAACTCGAGTACGCGACATCAAGTGGTACAGACCCTAAATTAAATTACAGTTATGCCTCTATACTTTCAGGTTTTGTGAAACTGTGCAATCCGTATAAAAGATAATATAATTTCTACAATGGCACAAAGAATTATTTATTTCCATAGTTAAAATCCTCAAAACTGAATTATGCATGCCTCGTAAACTTGGCCTTGCTAGAAGCATTGTCGCATTATCGAGTAAAAATGACAAATGCTCGAACATTGCTTTTTGATTGTAGCGCGACGTACGACAGAAGTAACACAGAAAACGTGAACATGCGACAACCATTTCGGATGCATCCTAAAAATTTAGTGCATACAACTTTAGTAAGCATTGTAATAAATGAAATCAGATTATCAGGTTATAAGTGTTTTTAAGTTTGCATCCTCAATATTTTCCAATTCTTGCCTTAAAAAATTTCCGTATATTCCGAAAAGTCTAAATTTTTGAACATTTACTGGTGTTACGACTAGGTGAATTGGAAACAAAGTAAGTCATAAAAAGGAAAATTTAGAAAGATGCTAAATGTTTACGATCTTGACTTTGGAGAGAGTTTTACGACCTTTAATTCTTCTGTGCTAGCAATATCTTCAGTACTTTCAACAGGTTCTGCATGTTCTCCATGTTCAGCAGCTCCTTGTTGAGCCGTTAAAATGTTCATCATAATTGACATTACATCCTCATGAACTGTTAATAAACGCATGAGGTCAGGGTGTTGGAAGAAGATTTTATTATTCATTAACTTCCTGAAGAAATTAAATTAATATAAATTCGTAAAAATAAATCTATTATTTGCTGCATTGAATTGTTTAAGTGACAAATAAAAACATGCATTTTCGGATGTTGGACACTTTGCCTTAGCCTTTTAAATCTATTCAGGGACAGAAATTAAGAATGAATTCGAAGACTGACCATAGCCCTCTTTTCAGTACTGTCTCCTCAGCATATTCAAACTGTACATTGAGCAATTCCCGAACTTTGACAAGATTTTCAATGAAATCTTGCACATCTTCAATGTTACGTTCATGCAACACGTAAGTATGCGACAGTGCTGTCATTATCTGCAACAAGTATTTCTGCTTCGCCCTCAAAAAGAGTCAGTGAACTTTTGACTGTAAATACTGTCAAAACAAAATTAGGTGAATCATCTTTGAAAAACTAATTGATTTGCACATTTTAGCTCTGCTTAGTGAAGGGCTATGTTCTTATGAGATTAAGAATAATTGCTAACTTCAGCAACACCGGTGTATTGTCGCAAGAGAAGACTGAACATCTTGCGGATCAGATCGTTACTTTCAATAGTTGTTGATGTAGCCCAAGTTTTCAGCATTGTGCATATCATCTGTCTACATTGAACAAAAAATTATTTACCAAATTTCAAATTAATTTTCTATTCAAACAACAAATAATGGCGGGTGATCTAATATAATTTGAAAAATGACTTGAGATTCTTATCATAAGAGAGCTGTTTTAATTTTCTGAGAAATGAACTGTAATAATAAGAAGAATTGAAGTATAGTTTTTAACTTAACCTAAAATTATCAGTTCCATTCTGGCTTACAATATCGATGTCACTAATTGGTGGTGGTGGAACATGAATGACTAGTTGTGCTAGTTGGTCTACCCAAGAACTGCTTTCTTCCATTATTATCAGCTCGGCTAGCTTATTATTTTCTTCTTCATTTTTAACACAGCCTATTTTACGCACTAATAGGGCACAAAATTCCCTAAAACAAAACTGTACCTAGTCGATGACTCGAAATAAATGCAATTCAATTTAATGCAGTATTTTTTACAACTTTAGCTCCATTATCATTCATATACGATTAAAAATAAGCATCAAAATTTAAGAGGACCTTTTTACATATAACTCAGATCTTTCCCTGAGAGTTGAATACAATATATTCTTCCAACAAGTCCTTCTTGACAAGAAACTATAAAGCATTCAAAGCAGTTTTCAGTTTGGTCTAATTTTGTTGTAAATTCTCAAACCTAAGTTGTTCCTGCAAGTTCTCATTCATAGGACACTGATCGGTTTCTACTTCGTCATCCAAAATTATGCCAACGCTGTCATCCGAAACGGCTTTACATTTCAACAGACGAAACATCTATCCAAGAAGTTAAAGCACATGCAATTATTATCGCCAATGACTAATCCATCATTATTATGTTTTTAAAAAAAATGCAAATTTAGAAAAACTGTCAAATGATTTTTGAGAAATTTATTTTTAATGATATGTTCACTTTTTTCTTATTTGTAATGTACTCATACTTGTTCACGTGGTGGACATCTAAATTCCTTTGTACGTTTGGCCGCCTCGGCAGGAGTCATATCCGTTTGCTTGATTGCCATGTATCTTTAAATCAAAATTTCAAAGCTAATTCATCTTACTAACTTATGTTATTACTATACCGGTAGTATCGAACCTTGAACATTGATCTTGCTGTAAATCAGCCACAAATCTGGCAGCAAATAAGATAAGCGATTCGACCCGATGTCGCAGTTGAATATCGCAAATATTTTCGAGAATAATTGTAAGCTGAATCTTTACTCCTTCAGCTAGTTCAATTTCCGTCAGACCTTTTTGCCTAGAACCTGAACAAAGCAAAAAATTGATGGTCATAAACAAAATCTACACATCCAAATTCCATTTTTTTTGCCTCGTTCTTATTAATTATTAACTATTTTATTCAACAACAAATTTCATAGACAAAAAGTATGCAATCATATGTAAAAGATAAGCAATTTTCAACGCTTACTAATAATATGAAGTGATTATTCAACAGTGATAAATTGAAGAAAATGACCGCTACTGATTATGGCAGTAGACTTTACACACTTATTTAAATCGAATTGTTTGAATCTGAACTCAAACCTGGTACATAATTTTCATCAAAAGCTACTGGATGAATCAATTTAAGCACATTTTTCAGGTCATCGTCATCAAACATGCCAATGACTAACATTGAATTGAATAACTTGAACAACGGTCTGCAGTGATTTTAAAATAGACATGAAATTATTATTAGGTACTACTATTATATGAATATCCTCTCTCTAACAGTTACAAAAGATCTTGCCAAATTTTTCGCTCACTTTGACGCTAAAATAACTTTCTATAATTTTAACAAGAAATCCAAATACTCAAATTTTAATTCATCTAAACTTACTCAAAATGATTTAAACAATTCCCGCCGATTAAGTCTCGACAATTGATCACAGCATGTTTGGTTGCGCTGCTCAATGCTGACATTACATATGCTTTTAAAGCAGCGAAATTAAAGGCAGGTGGCAATAATTTTAGTTCTACATCCTTGCCAAAACTTAAAACAAATATTGTCAGTAATAATATTAAAACATAAAAATCATAATTAATCATAGTTATAGAGGTACTACTCATAGTTATAAAGGTATTATGGTAATTGAATGGATTGGTACGTATCAATCAATCAGGAAAAATGAAACAGTACTTGAAGAAATAGATCGAAGGAACTAACAGAAGTTTTAATTACGCAAAAGCAACGCTTTAAAGACCAAACATTTCATTTTATAATTGTATAATATTTTGCAAAGTTTTCAAAAGTTACTTACTCAGTAAGTTCTGTACTGCAAGGAACCATCGGTCGAATGGAAATGGTTGGCCCGAGAATTTGTGGGAAGCGACTCTCATTTTCAGGACTGAAAACGTTCCTGATATCCAGATCATGCTTTAATGGAATGACATACTCATGAGCACCGGAATGTCTTGCGTCTTCATATGTGCGTAGATGTACAGCTATCAAAAAATCGTGGAATCCTTGTCGAAGTGGTCCCGAGAGATCTTAATAAATAAACCATCACACATTTCACTATATAATAATATTTTTGAAGATTATTCAAAAATGCAAAGTTCAAGAAAAGCATTGCTTTACTGAAATTTTGCGTTCCGAAAATGAAAATAAATGTAAAAAAGCATTACATGAAATAAATGTCTATAAATAAGAATGCATATTTTTCATATCATTATTATCAAAATTTGTACAATGAAAAAAATTACAATGGCTCTTCACGGCATACATGATCTGGTCCTCATCTACATGTGAACATAAAATATGAGCCACTTTCTGGTTTCCATGAGCTGCTAATTTACAGTACAAATTTAAAGTTTGTCGATGAAATGCTAAGAAATCGGAATGCTCGATCATTTCCAAAACATCATAGCTTACGTCTTTTTCCGGGACGTAAATAGACATAATATGTACAGGATCATCACAAAGCACTGACCAACCTTAAATCTCATTATTATACCGGAGTACTGTACGATTTTAAATATCGTATTTTACGTAAAAATTAAATGCCAACTATTGCATTTTAAATCATTGTCTTACTTTTGTGCACTTTATTAATAATGCAATTGGAAGTTTTGAACATGAATCATCATTCAAATCGTGAATATTCTTGAGGTACTAACCTCGAAAATCTGAAAGTTTCAGTGCCGTTGTACGCAAACACTCATTTGGTACGCGAGCCCACTGCACACGCCTCAACTTTTCTACAGTAAGCCGTGGAGGACAGAATGGCAGCAAACTTTTGTATGATGACTTGAACATTGTTGACGACAGTGGAAATGTGTACTGAAATGTAGTCTTGATAACTCATGCATAAATTTGAATACTTATTTTTTGCTATAAAGTAACATTTGTTATTTTTGCGATTAAAATTGTGTTTTTTTCTGTCATATTTGAGATTGAAAATTCAAAAATTTTAGCAAGCAAAAAAGGGTGTACTTTGATTCGTCCAAGTTCAAACTGCAAAACTTCATTACTTGTTGGAGTAACAAACACGGCAGGATATAGCATGGCCCCTGGCTCCAGCTAAAAAAGTATATTAACTTTACGATAAAGTTCTCAAGACATTAAGTTTTCTGATAGTAATCAAAAAATGAAATTATTTGAAATTCTTGAATTTCCAGTTTTTTGAGCTTAAATTAGAAAAGTTAAAACTCCCAGAGAGCAAAAAGCAGTCGAAAAAATATGAATAAGACGCCGAAAAAAAAATGACTTACTTTAAATCTGAAACCAGTGTCTTGGCCTGAAGCTAGGAAAGACAATTCCCCTATCGATGTATCTATGATACAACCTATCAGAAGACCAGACACTTTTGTATTCCCAGAATCCGGTACAGACTGCATTAATTCTGCCGCGTTCATCACATAGCAATTTCGATACTCTAAGCTATAGTAACACTTTTGTAATCAATTTTCTTCGAAAAAAGCTCAGTTTTTTTGTAGTAACGCATTTTTCACTTGCGTGGGTGTTTCGGACACTTTATCTTGCAACTTGATCAGCTAATGTACTTGTCCAATTTTTATGCACAATTTGCTTATGTCAGGGTATTCAATATAATAACTTAAATATTCAAGTCTCTGTACAGCAATTCAATTTGATAACGAAAAGAAATCAGATTATATTTTGGTACAAAATTTTGCCATACCCGCCACTTTCATTTTCACGTTTGTTTATATCCTGGTATTTGCAACATCTTACAGCTTCTGCAGCTACAAAACGTTCTGCATAGAAATGATACTTCGGTGTTACCCAACCAACCCAAACATTCCCGGGATCTTGTCCAGGAAAGATTCGTACTGCATAGTAAAACTCATCGATCTGAATGCAAAATATAGCGAATAACTAATCTTTCATACTAATCTAAACATTTTACAATATAATTTATCTGCAATTAATTTTTATAATCAATTTTGTGTCTTCAAATTATTCACCTTTTCAGCAAATGAGTAATTTGGAGAAAAATGAATTAACCTTGTCTTTGAGCTGACTCATGACCTGTAAATCATCATCTGGAACACTTCCTTCTGCCGTGGTACCTGATTCCAAAGCTACAATGGATGGTCTGTGATGCTCCAGTAAAACGTCATTTTTATCCCTTTTCACCTTCGCGTTCGCTGTCATCTTTCGAGACTGCAACCGGCCGGGACCCGAAAGAGGCATTTCTTCAAAATCGTTTTGCTAATTAGATCGTCAAATTACAGCCCAAATAATGGCTGCATTTCCCAGTAATATATTATTCGAACAGTTGAGCATATTTTTACTCTGCCAAAATTAAAGACAACATTTAAGTAAAGCTGTTACTTTCCAAACATGTTATCTTTAAGTCAAACTAAACTACTGAGTCTTTAATAACTCACATCATCAGCTTTAACAAACGAATTAAAGGATGACAATGGTAATTATAAACTGAAAATAATAAGTTTACACCACATCCGTACTACCTTGATTATCTTTTATCCCAAATAGCAAAGCGCTCTCTGTAGAAGTGGCATCAGCGGTTGTAACTTGTCCATCTGTGAGTGGTACGTCATTCGCACGTTTATTTTCATTCAGTGATCCTTCCCTTCAACAATTGTATTAGAATAAAGCGAAAAAATCAACTTTATTTATAACAGACATACGCAATCTATGAAGGTTTTTTCGCTTGAATCGTACTTTTTAATCTAGCATAGTTCCCTATAAATGATAGGATCGAATACGCTGTTAGCAATCACAAAAGCAACATTATATCCGATATTGTTGGAAAGCTTTCTTTGAAGTCAGTTATGAATATTTTCTAGCAGTGTTAAATGTTTTACTGATATAAACCACGAAATTTTGCTCTTTAGAATCATTTAAATAATACTGACGTTATTTTACATTATTAGTAATTTGTTTATTTACTTTCTTCGATGATGGAATCTGGCCATCAAACCACCTCGTTTATGCTTGATCCCTCTTTGTTCTCCATTGCTTGACAGTTCAAGCATGCTATCAGACAATCTGAATTGAACTTTTACTTATTACCATTTTCAATATATGACTGCGAGCAGAACAGAATTTTACTTTCTTTCATTTTCACTTGCTGAACACATTTTATGCGTCAAGCAAGCTTCAAATGAAGTGAAAGTCTTCCACGTGTTCTTTGAGATAATTTTTGGAATTTGTATAAAGTAAACACACATATTCATGAGTCGAAAAGGATGGATTCAGAAGCATTCAAATGTAATTTCTGACAACACATATTATAAACTAATTGTGTGCTTCAACATTATCTAGGCTCAACTGTTAGAAAATTGCCTTCAAATAGTGTTATGGATTCAAAAATTGAGTTGCAGCATACAAAATTGACTTCTTAATTTGTGTGAATTCACTCAGCTGTCTATTGTTCTAATTTAAAACTTTGCTGAAATTTTCTTTAAATTTTAGAGCTAGAAATTCGAAATGTAAAGCCTCCCAAAACCGTGAGACATCCAAAATCACTACTAAAGAAAGAAATAATATTTGAACAAATTTAATCCATCAATCAGAGAATAAAAACTACATTACAGTAATTCTTAGATTACAGATTTTAATTTGATACATTTTTCCTATTTTCTTCAAATGGCTAACCGAATTTATTAAACAGTAAGATGGCATTTACGAGGCTTTCCACAGTTGCAAATATCACGTGAAATCATTACAAAATTTGATTTCTTACACAGACAATTATAGAAAATCAAAGTTTCAATTTCCTTTACACAAGCGCACTTGTCATACAAAATTAAAGCTTTAATTTTTTGCGCTGGTGTCACTTCTATATTTCATGACAGTTACGTAAGAATGATATATTCTACACTATGCATACTGAAATGCATCAGTGTTAGCATTCGATGACCTTGGCTGCATTTAAAACAGAAATAGGAAAGTATTCGGTGGCTAAATGAGTACGATAATTTACTTTGGGCAATCAGTATCTGAGCTATTCTTTGTGTTAGTATCAATTTGTTAAGGACGAGAGCAGATGAATTAAGTGAAACTTTTCCTGATGCTAAATCCTTCACTTTCAGTTTTCTTCATGCAAAAAAGCTGAAAACTAAATAAATTGATAGCCAAAATAAAGTTTGCGACTTATGCAAAAGTGACTTTGCAAAATGAAAAGCGTACCTTACGGCAGATGTTTCTGGTGGCTGATCACTCTCAAACGATGTTGGTTTTGAACGTGTTAAGCTTTCGTCTTCTTCAATATTATGCTTAAAAGCAGACAGTAACGATCGACCAAGTGATTTCTGAAACTCGCTTTTATTCCAACACACTTTATTTGTGCTGATATCTACCCTTTCATAAGTCACATAAAAGTTTAATATTAATAAATAACCAAATCAAATTATATGCAATGATTATAGATTAAAATTGAAAACTTGAATTAGAGCCAGTGGTCACACCTTACTCCCTTTCATATCATCGCTGAATTCTTTTGGAATAGTTGGATGATGAATGGTAACTATTGCTGGAATTTCTGCCATTTGTTCCTCGACTTCATGCACAGAACGCATTATCAGTTCTTTATTCCTTCAAATTAATTGCAAACAAAATTTTGAATTTAATATTAATTTTTGATAACCACTTTTGTTGCATATTCAACTAAAATTAAAAGTTTATGTCCAAAATTAACTTTGCTATTTCTCATTTGCGTATCTAAACAGCAATTCCTTCGAGACATACTTGTTCAATTGCAGTTTCTCATTACATTTTACAGGCAATGACAAGCGAATGTATTCCATTTTAGCTTTGTCTTGCGTGGATGTATCACCAGTATCAATCTAAACACCTTTTGCTTAAAATTTGTTTTAAATTGCTCTGAATTTGAAATCAAATACTCGGGAGATATTGTTGACGAAAGATGAAACAGAAGTTTGAATGCAGAGATTGTAATGATTATCTTGAATAGTGAATAATAACCCACCTTATAATAGATTTTTTTTAATAAGAAAAAAATTATTGTACACAAATTGTGAACTTGGCGAATTTTAGAAATAAATTGTGGAATTTCATGCATTACCTAAGAAACTGAAATAGAATTAATTTGCTTTCTTAAATTCCAGTTTTTCTTAGACAAAATTAAGTGAGAACAGGTGTCTACAACTGCTTAAGAACATTTACTGTACTTTTGTATTACTGCAAATTTTGCTATAATACAATATTGCCTAACTGACACACGTGCTGCTATCGTCGTCAAACCAATCATTTCAGAATATCTAGTAGATATGAATCTCTGATGGGTAGTAAACTGAGGAAAAAAATAAGACTTGAGTTTGCTAATACTGTAAATCCCTTTTATGACTGAAAACCTTTGTCATTTAGAATGTTCAAAGCAATACTAATTGATACTTCTAATCGGAATGAAATTCATGTGCTTTTACTGCCATGAAATCCTCGTCTGACACATTTGAAATCTACTCAACAAAATCAAGCACAGTGAGGGAATGGAAAAAATGAAAAAGTTAATTCATTATCTAAGCAAATTTTATTGCGACGAAATGATTTGTTAAAATTGAGATGCATGCCACAACTTGAAAGTTAGAAAAAATTGCAAAAACTGATGCAAAAGACCTCTTTTTGAGTGATTTTGAGGCAAGGGGGACTGTTTCCGGTCGCTGGGATTCGTGACAATTCTATCTTCGAATCTCCTCCGATCTCTTCGAACTGCGCCAGTTTCTTAGCGTACCACATTGGCATTTGCCGATACATATTGCTGAAATTTAAAATTTAGAGCTGTACAAACTTCGAATGCAACACAATCTCCCACCAAATATTGCAAATGCTTTCAAAAATATTAAAAAAAACCGAAATTTTAAAAGTTATTTGCTTTTTCAGTCCTTCTATCAATTTCAAAAAATTCTAAAACTCACACGCAAAATGGCTCATATCCTTCTCTGAGGCCACACGTAGTGAAATACTTTAAACTATCTGAATCTTGCCCAAAATTCAATCTCGCTTTTTGTCCTGCACCAAATGTCATTGCTGGTACAAAGCCATCTGTTACAATGACATTGTCAAAAGCCATTTCTGAACCGGAAGGGTCCTGTGAATATACAAATCAACTTAATGAAGATGGAATTTTCAATCAAAACTTTTTGAATGAATAATTAGTGATGGTCAATCAAAAATTTGACATCTTTTGTCTTACTAATTAAAAATGATAATGAACTAAAACATTGTTATATATTACTAAAAGCAATTCTCCATTCAACGAAAATGAGATCGTTCGATCATTGAGATCAAGAAATGCTCCAACTATATCTCCAACTTTCCATTCTTTTCCATATGCCTCAGCTCCTTGATGCCATTTCCGAGCCAAATGACTAAAGTCAGATTAAAGGAAGAACTAAAAAAATTTCATGACAAATCTCAAAAAATTAAGTGAATTCATATGCATATAAAAATATTGAAAAGATTTACAAAATTACTAAATTTATGCAAATATAACTTTGAATTGTTAATTACCCATCAAATCCGTAAGATCGATCGTCCATTCCAAGATCAACCGTTGGGAGTGCTCCTATATCCATCCATCCCACTTTCATGAATCCAGAAGTCAGGACCTCAAACTCAAAGTACCATTTACCGCTGGAAACTGCGTACAGTGCTTCAGCTCGATATGTAAGAGAAGCTGATTGCATCGCTTTCATTTCTTTTTCCGCACCTGAATCGAACATACTTGTCGAGTCCATTATTGAATAATAGTGAAAATCAATTATAATTATGAGATTCTAGTTTTGGTTTATTCTTCGCATAACTTTCAATCATTCAAATATTAATTGCAGTTTTAGTACAAAAATTCAAAGAAAAATTACACTTGCATATATTGAATGAAGCTAATTTTATGCAATTACCTTCATCATGCTCCAGAACGGGAGGTTCAAGGAAAATTCCAAAAAGTTGTAAAGCTTTGATGAATTCCGTAGCAGATTCTTTGTTTGCTTCTTTGATTCGCTGATCAACCACCTCATATGGTACCAAGTGTGGGCTTCGTTTTTGGTTCAAATCCACAAACTATAACATTCAAAATAATTAAAGACAAATAGAACAGTAGTAGCATACCTTGATCCGTGCGAAAGGATCAATTTCGTAGCTTTTTTAATACTCATTTTTTCGTCTGAATATACAAATTTTTACTGTTTCCATCACATAATTGTGATCCTATAATCAGCAAAATTTGAATAGACCTCATTAAGTCCAAAAGTCCAACCGCGTCGAATTTTCTCCTTCGCCCAAACATTGTGAGTATTTTTAGCCAAAGCATCAATCAGCGGGTACATATTTTCACCGAGACTAATGTCGCGAGAGTCTAGAGGTTGAGGCTTGAATCCATTACTTTGCTGATAACTAAATCATTTTTATTCACGACCCAAACTTTTGATCTTTTTTCGTTCCTTTATTGTATTAATTATTTAATTAATACACAAACTGATCACACATTATTTTGAACTAAAATTCTTTTGTAATTTCAAAACAACTTCATTTTCGTTACTTCTGAGGAAGTCGTATTGGTCTCAATCGAACCGGTGGATCATCTGAGATCATATGATATCTAAGAGCACTGATTGTTCTGAAAAACACGTTTTATACTATCACAATCTTAACTTTCTCATGCAAACTGCCCTTGATTTTAATATCGATAATTTTGATTGATTATTCGACACTTTCATTATTTAAGTCTACTTTCAGGAATATTAATTTCAACAAATTGATGCGCTTAATTTACAAAATCTGTTTTTTTAAAAGGATTACTAGCGTTACTTCATGGTATTAATAGCCAGATTGATGTTGTAAATTTTCTCATTCTGCGGCAATTGCTGGAATGATGTAAGGCACGGATGACGGCGCATTTTCTCGTCCCTTACCTGTTTTAATCCCACTATCAGAGAAGTTCTACAGAATTTAGACAAGTTTGTAGGTTTTATACTTATTTTCCTTTTTTCTATTTATCAATCGTTAGAAAATGCTTTTGTCATCAACGCAGCTAAGTTATTTGCTCCGTTTTAAGCGCTTACTACAAATTTACTCTTAATACGTAATTCCTTCTTAAGTCACACTCATTCTGTTCTTCGCACGCAGTCCTTAATTTCTTCTCAATTGCCTTTTCTCTCTTTTAAAACTAAAATTGTACGAAGGGGCTTAAAGAGGCAACAGTTTTCACGTTATTGTCACGTTCATTAATTCTTCAAAAGACTTGACACTTCAATAAGAATTCTATTTCTGTATATGTTATGTAGTTATTTTCAGTACATCTGCTAATTACTATGCAATTAATTATCCAATAAAAGTTTTCTATTCAAACTCTCATATGTATGTCAATAAAGAGAACAAATTTTGTCATAGGAAGTATCATCACCTCGCCATAACTCCATCCAAGTTCTATTTTTCGCATCGCCCATAGCTCATGCAAATTTTCGGCCAGTTTCTCATGAATATTGGTAGCAAAATGTGGTAGTACAACGTTTGAGATGTCAACTGGAGTTGGAACAAATGGTTTTGTGTTGTGATGTAGGGTACTTGGGCCGATGAAGACATTTTTGGTGATTTCACCGAAGGAAAGACATTCTCTGATTTCAAGTTGATTTGTAGCTGCTTCAATTAGTGCACTAAATCCTGAAGGAGGTCCGAATCTAAGATGACCTTCTGTTCCACCGAACATGAAACGACAGCTGAAATGTAGATTTTATCAAAAAATAAAATAACTCTTTATTCTTGACACTATTTTGAAGTGCAGCACATTCGAAAAACAGTCAAAACATGAATTTTCTTCATCATACCTCTGCTGCTATTGAACGAATCAGATTTTTTTCACATAAAAAGCTATATTATAAATGAAATTTTTAGATTTAAATAAATTTGTGTGCATTTTAGACATACTTAGGTAAGATTTTTTATCTGATTAGGTTGCAATCAATTCTTTAGCGGTATTATAACTACTATTAATCACTGATCTTAATCTAGGACTGTCAAATATGTCAATATGCAAATTAGAAAACTTGCTTACCTGACTTTAGCAGAAAGTGACATGACAGGAAAGAAATAACCATCGATGTTGAAGTTCTTGAATACTCCTGTAGTCTGTTGTCCATTGATTGTAAAAGCTATTTCAGGAATGTTCAGGTCCAGTGAGCAGCCGATAATATCACCCTTTTGGAGCGCTCGATTCCAAACCATGCGTTTTTTACTAGCTACGAAGTATAATAGCCATTACTATTTACTTTTTTAAATACTTATTGCAAAAAGCAAACCATTCTTTCACATTAATTGCTTGCTATAAACTGACCACAATAAGTGTATTGACCGTCAAATCCATACGAAAAGAAGTCGTCACCAACACCATTGCAACCCCATCTGAAATAGGCAATAAGCATGCAAATTAACAATTAAAAAACAATTTATCAATAGAAACTTTAAAGCAACTAAATATAAAAAAGGATTGTAAGTGAGTTATTTCTGAAAATTTTATAAATTTGAAAAATTTATCTTTCGCAGATTTGATGGATGAAAATAGAATTTGAAAGAGCATTGAGCTTAGCTACTTTTCAAATTACATGTGAAAAAATTAAGCTCCACAACAAACCCATCGCCTGAACCGGGAAAAGGCTTGTAGCCGACGCTGCTAGCCCAGCCAATGCGAAGGTAAGGCGCAGTTTTAGTCATTTGTTCAATGTGTTCAACTTGCGCTTCAAAGTACCATCGCTTGAACTGCGAGCTGCCCTCAATGACACCAACAAGAATATTCGGTGCCATGCTGTAAATTTGTTATTCATTTTAACGACATGACGAGAAAACTTTTAGTTGCTAGAATACATAGTCTTGAGAACACAATTCAAATCTCTTCTTTAAAATTGATAAATTTTGAATCGTATTCGCTAATTATTCTGCTTGTATTTGATTGCTATCTTAGATGTTCCTTTTTTTTTTTAAAACCGCCAGATCATTTTAATCAACCTAAATAACAAATTTTAATCAACCTAAATAACAAACCACGAAATTAGATCAAACTTATCAAGTCGTTTTCTCACTACTTCTGTTTTTATCTTTTGCGAACAACTGGAATAACCTGATAAACCGATTGCAATCAATGCCTTCGATCGTGATCTTTCAGTTTATTACGCAGTGATTCTGTATTCAAGAATAAAGGGAGTATTGATACCTGCTGACATGATCTCTCATTTTTGTTTGCAGCAACAGATCTTTTCCTGGCAACAAATGCTGCGTGATCGTATTTTGACTGCTTCTCACTGCCATGCCATTGCCTTCACAAAGTGACGATAAGACATCAAGAACCTGAAATTCTGACATTGCATTTGTTTTCTCCTTTGAATTTTTTCATCACTTTAACTTCACATGAATAGAACTGAGCAAAAAATATACATTCAGTATGCAAAAATTTTTCTTACAAGGATAGATAACGATAATATCAATTTTTCAACAATGAAAAGATTATTCTTGCTGAACATTGAGCTATTTTTAAGTTACTGAAGTAATAAATCGAAAATGAAAGTAAAGTAACCTTAGGGTCTCTTCCCACTTTTTCCAAAAGTGATATCACAGATTTGATATGACTCTCATTGATCATATTCAAAGCTTCTGGTGACTCAGTTAGCACGCAGTATAATACATCAAGAATACCTGAGAACATATGTCTTAATAATTTTGTCAGAATCACATTTTTCACTAATTCTCGGATTTGAAGCAAGAAGTTTACCTTCTGCAGATTGAGGATTTGATAGTCGTCCGAATAGCCACTGCAAACGCTGGGCTGATGCAAATTGTGCACAGTTATAGTGATTACCTTTGATCATCGCAGCAACTAGTAGGTACAAATATGTGGAGATTTCATCCCACATCATCTGACATTCATCTAATTTTATTATAAACTCATTCTTCTGTTTCTTAGTTCGCAAATTAAAGAAGATGAAAATTTTTAAAGCACTCTCATGTAGATGAAATTTTCCATTCCAAAAGAAAAGCTAAATTTCCTGCAAATTTTACTTTTGAATGTTATGGTTGTAGAAAATATTCAATTTCACCTGCGTTTCCTCATTAAGATATCCAGCAAAGTCAGGCAGTGCTTCCATCTGTGAAAACTTATCAATGGTATCAAGAATCATATTAAGGACACCTTCTTCTTGAAACAAATCTTGACGACTTCGCAATGCATATAAACGGTTTTGACTAGTTTCAAAGTCTGTAACTTTTTTAATGGTAAATTTTTTGTCGAGATTTTATGCGGAAAAGCTTTAAGATTTATAAACATTCTTTTTTTTCATTACAAGTTCTTTAAGTAAAGTGAAATATCACTAAATTAAATTGTAATAATGTAAGCTTCGAAACATTTAACCTTCTCCTTCAGGTTGAGCAAAATATTCAATTAAATCTTCCATAAGTTTCAAAACTTCGCTTAAATCAACTCGATTCCAATCAGGTGCTTGATTACCTTCTCGTTGCAATGCTTCAATTCCTCTAAAATCTTCTTTCTTTATTTTTAAAAAGTTGGTTAATACAAAAGAATCTGCATACTTTAATCAAAGTATCATACTTCAAAAATCGATTGAGTACGGAAGAACACTTCCGAATGACTCGAGCAGATTTTGATTCTTCTTCAAGAGCCATGAAAAATGTAAAGCAATCATCCATGTGGCCGTCTTTTAAAGCCACAGATTTTTTCTCTTCAACTTTGCCAAGTCCTTTTTTAGTAATTTCTGTTGTCTAAAACACATCGAATTCCACAGTAAAGGTAAATTTTCATCATTTTCACTACAAAAAAATTTTTACTCATTCAACAATTTAGCTGCCAAACTAGGAACAAATCCAAGTCACTTTTGGCCCACAGTACACTTTGTTAATGCAAACTGTCAAGTGTTCAGTGTTAGTGGAAACTATTTTACAAGTCATTTCAAGACTCACTTGATAAGAAAGCCATAGTTCAGTTTTGATATGCTGGATAAAAGCATTAGTTTCACCGTAAAAAATCGTAGCAATACCCATTCCTTCCTCTTCCTTTTCTTCCAACATTTGTTTTTTTAAATCCTAAATATCTGATTCTGATCGTATTATCTCCACATCAGTAAAGAAAAACAAAGATTTTGGTCATTTTGAAAAGAATGGCATATAAAATTATATCAGTTAATATGGTGTGAACTTTGGCATCAGTGATTTAGAATATTTTCCGTTTAACAAATATTAATGAAAATATTACCTTAGTTTGGTACATAACAAACGCAGTCGTATCAAATTCAGCTTTATCTTTGTGGTACAACTGAACAGCATTTTCCATCACTCCCAAATATCTAAATTTTTGAATAACATTTTGTATTGAAAATAAGACAAGAATCTTAATCAAAACTGAGAAACAAAAGCGAAAATGATACCTTCCAGAAGTAATATGCCTAATTCTAAAAGGCTGCTCCCAACCAACCAAGGCTCCATGCCATTTCATTCGGATAAGCTCAATCCGCCAGAGTGATCTTGCTTGCGATACTGCCGCTCCACCCTCGTAAATTACCATGCTGAAGTACCATTTTGGGCGTACTAACTTCCAAATACAAAATCTTTTTTTGAAAATATGCAAAGTTAAACTATAAAATGTATTTATTATTACAAACTTTTGTGCATGCAATAACACATTGTTAATTTTTGCATTTCGTTTCTGCAAATATTCAGCTAAAATCTTTACTTATGCTGTGGATGTTCACTCCAATTCTCAGGAATAGTCAGCACTTCATCGTTTCCGTGAAAAAGTCGCAGAACATCGTTACCAAAAAGTGCTCCTTAAAAATTTCATTTTCTAGCTGGATACAGATGACTTATTAACTTGTAACAATGAATTATGCTGCAAAATCACCCATATTTCGAGTTCGTATACTTCCTGAACTGACTGAGGTGATGTTCCAAAGTGTTTGGTGAAATGACGCAATCACCATAAATCCTTTGCTGTGTGTCATATGCTGCAGATGAGTCATTACTTTTTCTGGCAAATATTTATTTTGCATTAGTTGGAAAAAGTTGTTTCTCTGCATAAGTGTGCAGTTACTGGTGCAGTATTGAGTAATTACGATTTTTATGTGTTATTGAATGCTTAAATTGACAGCATCTTACAGTGATACAAACTGCTAATTTACATAATTTGATTAGATCTAATTATATCCAATTTTATCCTTGGATGTTAGCTGTTAACAGTTTTTGAGAAATTTTTTATGATGGAAGTCTGATCAGAAATTGTCATAAAATCAGTAATAAGCTTCAAGGATGAATGAAATTTAGATAAAAATTTGCTGCGAAAAGATAATTCAAAAAGAAAAAAATCGAAAAAGTTTTGGAAAGCAAAAAAGCAAACGCACTAAGTATCGTTCGGTTGCTACTGAGACTAAAATAACGTCGTCACCAACGCGAACTTTTTCTCCTTCTGACCTCTGTTTGGATGCGGGATGAATTGTCCACCAGCAAGACTCCCCTAATAACGATTATGAATACTGAATTGATTAAAATAAATTTACAACAAATTAGTAAATTTTACACTGACCAAAAATGATTGATCACTTTGCTTTATACATACAAAACTGTTTTATCAAGAGAGTTTGACTTTTTTACCTTCATTAGTTTCTTGCACACCAACATCAAATGCTAATTTATCGTTAGATGAACACGACGACAGGCATGCCAAATACTACAAATATTGATAAACTGATGATTTGATTCTGATTTTATTGAACTGCATATTTCATTTAACTAAATAATTACTGAAAATGAAATTCACTCCTTGCTGATGATCATCTTTAACTGCTAATGGTCATTTTCAAACATTTTGAAGGGATAAATGTGTAACTAACTGATTGAATGATTGAATATATGTCAAACCAATTATGCATAATGGAATGGAATGAGAGGAAATTAAAAAGTTGTGGTGGAATTTGAACAAACCATTTCACTTTGTACATGTTTGAGCTGGACGGCATGACCGTAGAGAAGAGTCTTGTGACCTCCGCCACTGCCCGTTCCTTTCTATAAGAAAGAGGACATCTAAGAACCTAAGCTTTTGTGCTTCTTTTTTGTGATAAAGCTGCAAATCATAAAATCAAAAGCAATCCTTACCATCTCGCCATCATTGCTCATCATTTCTTGAAGTGCTCGTACTGATAATGCGTTATCGATATAAAGCATGCACATGGATATATCAGGCGGGAGATCCTGGAACGAATTTTAAAAAAATAAAAGCGGAAGATCCGAATTGCTCAAAAAGTACTAGAATTCCTAAAAATGGCTTGTTTTCAAAAAAAAAATTATTATATAAATGAAAACAATACCTAAATTATCATAATTTCGATGCAATGATTTATGCTTTGCACATTATTTTTTAGCAATAAAATGGTATTTTTTGTCATTTATACTATACTGTTACTGTTATTGCAATAAAAATCACTCTGTTGGAGACATTTTCCAACGCACACATGCGATTACCGAAGCCTTCGGTGCAAAGGCAAACTCGTTCAGAGCCAAGCACTCCTTCTCGGTTTGCAGATGCCATGCATGTCAATGCTACGATGTCACCCTGAAAGTGTGGTCCATCACTAACTTATCTCAATTTTTGCCTCCAAAAAATAAGCTAAAGCTTTTTAAAGTTTGCAATGCCCAAATGAGTACCGTTCGCAAGAAGGATATATCATCCTGTTCTCCATTACCTGTCCCTTCCTTGTCTGTCATTTCCGTTCAATAAAAGCTTCTTACTTCGGAAAATTTCACTAATTCGTCGATTCGTTACTTTAAGTTCGAAGCATTTAAGCTTCTGAAAGTTAAAAAAATTCATTATAATACTTAGCATTTGGATTCAATCAAACGAATCATTTCATACAGACTAATAGCGCTTTTGAATACTACACTTTTCTGTTTTTTCGTTTCAGCACTGTTATTTTCAATCACAAAAAATATATCTCATCAAGCCTTTGCATCTGACGAAGCCAAGCTGTTTGCTGTGTTACAAATGAGAAGCAGCAAGTCGCTTTGTAACTATACAGAAGTGGCAGAGTAAATGCTACTTGCTACTAAGATCTTGCTTGTTTTTAGCACTTCTGTAACTATTCGTGCTGGATCAACTAATTGATCACTTCAAAATTAAGTATGCGATAGTTACTAAAAGTGTTCATTCTCATTAGAAAGTATTACAATGTGGTAAAAAGAATTTGTGTTCCACATTACTGAAATCATCAATTTAGGATTGAATCGTAAAGTAGGCATCAATTTGAGGGAAAAATAGTATTTTCAAAGCACCAAAACAACAACGTCTTCTGGCTGGGAACTTTGTAATGCGTTGGAACTTTGTTGAAAATTTAGTCTGCAATGTGTAAACGATGAAAGAAGAAAGTGGAAGAATGTTTTGCGATGGAAAGTATTAAAATGCGCAGAAATTCTGACCAAAGGAATAAACTCGCACTGCTGTCATAGTAATGCAAGCATAATGCAAAATTTTCGGAAACTTTATTGACTTTAAGAGAAATTTATGATATCTGAAAGAAAATTTGTACAAAACTGAATAATTTTAAGTGAAAATTTGCATTTGAGTTTTAATTAGCAAATTAGCACTTGGCAGTATGAATAAGGCAGTGGAATGTTTTTTGAGCGTAATGGACGCGAAGTTTATGGATTAAAATAATCACTGGACTAGAATAAAAGAATAGAAATGCTAGATGGAAGCTAATATTGAGCTAGGAACAAGCGCATGTGAGGCCAGAAATTGAAAATGGATCGAGCATTGCACAAGCCACAAGCTTATTTTGATGAGCTGGACAGATATGAAAGTAAAGAGCTTCTCCTCGAGTATAGAGAAAGACAGACCTCAAAAAGAAGCAGAAGGTAAAAATTTGCTTCTTCGAGCATTGTGGCAAGTATAAGTATAAGTCAGTTCTGAGCAAGTCGCAAATATTTTTTGAAAATCATAACATTATAATGAAGAAGTGTTATTAATAAGTATATCAGTGGTAGACATGAAAATTAAGTATGAATACCTACTAGTAGTGAATATTAATTTGTATTTGTGAATGTGTTAAATAATCTCAGCAAAAATTTGTGGATTTATTCTGAACACAATTAGACTTGACTTGATTTGAATGATTAAAAAATGAGGAGAGAAATGCTTAAGGAGTCAATACGCAAATATTTAGCTGACTGACTTTGCTTACTCAAAAGAGTGGAGAATCAGATTGAGACTGGAAATCTAGACTGGTAGTGCAGTCTCTATCTAACTTGTTAGTTCAAATGATTGAATGCTAATCAATCACTGCATTATTTGCTGTGCAGTTGATCTAAGCAGCAGATTAGCATAAAGATAGGTCGATAGGTCCGATAGATAGATATAGATAGATAGATAGATAGATAGATGGATGGATAAATAGATAAAGTAGATAAATACACTAATATATTAGTAGATGATGAATGTGAAGCAAAGTTGAAGGATTTGCAAAGTACTTAAATGTTTACATACTTCAGCTGTACACTAGAAAAAATGCTTGCTAGCATATACACGCTTAGACAGAAAGTTAAACTCAAATAAAGTTTCTTGTGAACTAAAAATGACAAATGTTACTTCAATATTCCAACTTTTGCATATGTTACTTACTTGTGTATTTTTCGGACATTTTTAGAATACTTTTTTCTAGTCTTTCGCTTCCAGTATGTAATAAATAGATGGTCCGTAATGGTGATCAGCGCGCTTATTCTAATACGACCGCTTATTTATTTTAAACTAATCTCAAATGAATAATCTGCATGAAGTAACGAATTCCTGCGACGTACACTTGTTATTAGAGAACTATTTCTCACTTCCTTTCCAGCTTGAATGCTAATTACAGAACGAAATTGACAAACCTAAAGCAGTATGCATGACCATGTCCTCATAGCATTCCAATTACTTAGCATCCAGTCTAGCTGAAACATACTTCAAGTCGTTCTTGCATCAGTCTTGCACACAATAATAATCTCGCATTCAAATGAACCCAATAATTTCAACCGAACATATTACAACACACCCAGGAACTCGAGAACTTATATCTATCTACAAAGAGAACTAGTGTTTTTCTCCTTTATATTACAACGCAGCAAAAGCTGCTTACTTCCGTTGTCTTTGTAAATTTAAAAATCTATCCACTTTTATTTTGTTTTCTTTGCGAATATTCAAACTTTTACATATACTATATAAACACAACTATCAGCTTGAAAATACAATGCATTTAGAGACAGATCAGTTCCAAGCAATTACTAACCAATATACTTTGATGGGAAAGGAACTAAAATTCTCCTATAGAAAACTTATCACATAATTTTTTCACAGTTCGTGAAATAAACATAAAACCACAATATTGTTACATGCTTAACGAACAGCAATGAACAATAAAAGTGAAGTGAAAACCATTAAAAACAAAACAAGATCAAGACTCCAGATATTTAAAAACCACCGTTTCAGCAGAACTAAAACTTAATGAACATGACAACTGAGATTATGTTAGTCAAAAAGAATCTCAATGAATTTCTGAGCTCAAAAAAAGACCATGAAAAACAAATGCTGTCTGTTGTTTTTTATATCTTTGTTCAGATATTTTCATTCTCGAACTGTTCGTAATCAATCCAGTAAACCATAAAAATCATTTTTTGCCTCTTTTTCTTCTTCGTACCCATCCGTCCACCGGCATTTTAAAAGTGATGTGCAATCTATCTAATATTTCTATCAGTGTTTTTTTCGGAATCTGTGAAACTAGTGAGTCAGCAAGAGACAAACGATTCACCAAATCATCCTGCAATGATATATTTCAAGTCATCCTAAAGTAGAATAGAGAAAAATCGTACCTTAAATCCTTTTATAGAAAATAATAAGATCTCTCAAAAAATAATTTTTAACTAAAACTTACGAAAGATATCACATTAAGACCAAGCAGCTGATTATATAAAGCTGAATTTTCTTCTTTCCTTAGCCACTGAAGAAAAACGCTTTGCATTCCTTCTAAATCCTGTAAAATTGTTTTCAGCAATTCCACTCACTAATTTTTACACAGTTGGAAATCTAAAAAATTATCACTACAATGATGAAATCAATTCTCTGATTTTTCAGTAATCGGTGAAATAAAATTAACGAGAGAATTAATACACTTGCTTTTGGTAAATCTGTGGACAACTCTTCATCTACACAAGATTCTTCTATAATGTCGAATTCATTCAAACTTTTGTTCAATGTTTTCTCGCCATCACAATCTTCATCACTAGAGTGTTCCAGGTTTTCATTCTCATCGCAATGGTTACTAAGGCTTGGAGCTTTTTTTCTTTTTGAAACAGCCTTATTTTCCAGAACTGAACACATATTCTCCATTTAGGTGTAAAAATGAACAAATTAAATAGTTATTTATGAGGAAAAAAAATATCAACATTTTTACACCTTTGATTATGAAAAGGATAACAGAAAAATAAAATAAAAGACAAGTAATGATGACGTTTTGGCAAATGTATTAAAAAACGCAATACATTATTAATGTACATAAACAAATTATTTAAAAAAACTCATTACTTGGATGCGTTTCCTCATAAATCTTCTTTAATAGTGCCACCCCTCGTTTCTTACCCATAGGACGTACACCGAATTTCGCTAATTCTATCTATAAAAAAATGATTTCAGTAAAATAACTTTAGTTGAATATACCCTTGTGTTAAATTTTCATCGTTTACGAAGTGAAAACTGGCTCCAAATTTTAAGAAAATTAATTAACTAATTGAGCAACAGAACAACATATTAATAAGATACTTTTAACTGCTTGTCATTCATTGAATCATAATTCCGCATTGGAGTAACATTTTTGGTTTTCACGATTTTCACATTAGAGCCTAAATCTTCTATCCTATGCACAATATGACTTGCAAAAGTTTCTGAAGTGGAAGGATTATTTGCAATGGTGTCCAATTGTTCTTTTTTCCTTTTTGAAGGTGAGGAAATGTTTGCATTACTGGAAGCCCCGTCAAGCAGTGATAAAGGTGACAACTGACCATTTGAAATAAAAGAAAACTCAGGAGTAATAACCCTTCTTATATCTTGTGGCGGGCTATTATTTAACAAATTATTTGCAAGTGGTGATTCCGGACAGATTGATTCTGGACAGTAAGCGAGCTGAGAACCACACTTTGGAGTGTAGGACGGTTTGATTGGGGAAAGCTTCCGTAGTAAACTTTCTATTGAATCATTTAAATCATTCATATTATCTGGACCTCGCGAAACTGAAGGAATAGGAGATGAACAGTGAAATTTATTACTAGTTTCATCTTCTAATAAAGGAGATGTATTTCTGCTCGAAATATTGGTGTTTAGAATATCTTTCTCTCTTGATAAGTCGCTTTTCTTTGGAAGCAAATAATGATAAGCATCTGATTCAAAGCTTAAGAATCTATCACTTTTAAGCACGGATAAATTTTTTGATAATTTCTGCGATGTAATGCATGCATGTTTCATCGTCTCAGCAGGCTGTAGAGACTCTTCAAGAAGAATGACAGAGGAACTATCAGATTTATCCATTTTTTCATTTTTGTTTTGTATACTTACGGCAAGCGAACAATGATTTGCTTTTTTTTCATCCTCTTTTGCATCATCTCCAGAATCAATATTGCAATTATCGTGCTTATCATTCACACATGTTCCAGATTGTCTTCCTAAAGTCTTTCTATCAGAGCTTTTTGTAAGCAATGTAGATTTACATACTGCAGCTAAACCTGGAGGACCGTATTTTTTTGCCATAGAATACAATTCTTCGAGCTCACTTTCTGTCCAAATAATTGATGCAGAAGTCAGAAAGCACAAATAGCATCTAAAATTATCTTAAACTAAGGAAATCATGTGTGCAAAACGCATTAAAAGCAATTCTGTTGCTCAAATTCTTAATAGCCAGTTTAATAGCAGTTTTAAAAGTTAAAAAAAACACATCACTACCGAAACAAAAACTATAGTGTTAATGAAAAGAACACAGCTATCAAGACTTACCTTATTGCTGCTGCGGAATACTCCCTTAATGGTAAAAAATCATTGGAATCTAAAAGCTGAAAATGACTATTTTTAAATTTTATAAAACTGGTCAAAATAAATAAATTTTAAAAACTCAAACACTTTTTATTGTTGATAAATTAGGATACATAACCTAACAATAGCTAAAATACCAAAATTTTATAACACTATTTGCTCTCAAATACTTGAGAACAATGAACTTTTCTTGTATAGTAAGAATATAATTTTGAGTCAAACTATTAAAAATATTAGAAAACATTCAAATATTAAAGTTGTTTCATGTAGGAGAAAAAGAACCTGCAAAAGTGCAGGTGCTCGAGCAGCAATGATAAATCTGGATGTCAAAAATGTTTCATTTTCACGTGAAAAAACCGTGATGTCATTGTTACTTTCGGCAAAACGAGTAAGATCATCAGCTAACTGTTCCAAACAATTTAACTGAAAAAAATACTGCGATCATTTTAAAAAATCAGACCTATGCGATACACTCGTAACAGCTTACAAATACAACACAATGATCTTTAATTTTAATCTAACAAACTCCATTTCACGTACCTTACGCAGGGATACTCCTATATCTTTTAATGTATCTTCCGTTTTCTGAATATTTGCTTTCAGTTCTGAGCGTATATCTTGCTTCCCGTCTTGTGTTTTAAAAATATTCAGAAAATTTTCCTGAAAACAACTTTCACTGACACTGCAGAATATAAGAAAAGCTAAGCTTTAGGAGCTTATGAGGCTAGAGATCAAGATCAACAAGTGATACATATAGTGCAGAATTTTTGAAAATTTGGAAAAAGTATTTAAATGCAAAGATACTTTGTCAATGAGTTATTATAGATTAAGATAGAAATGTCTGACTTGTATCTTTTCAATCACTGCACATTTGCAAGCACGTGGTTCCAGTTCTACAAATGAAAATGATCGTGGACGCTGTTTGCGAAGACGCAGTTTGGGTGGCTTCTGCGAGTCCATGAATAACTCACTGAAATTCAAATTGATTTTTAACTATAAAAACATTCCATATTTTATGAGTTTATCTACTTCGTGCATTTCATTTTATTCAAATGATTTATGCAGATGACAAGAAGGCTAAAGACTAGAAAAACAAGAGTAAGAGTTCATAAATAAATTTAAACAGAAGAATAAAGGTAAAATAATCAGTAAATATTAGGCAACTAGAAGATGGAAAACTTAATAAAGAGCTATTTACCTTTTATCTGAGCTCATACTCGCAGAAATTGCTGTGGATAACTGGATATCCTCTTCAAATGCTGTACGTGGCTCTCCAATGAATCGGGCGGGACGCTTTGAAGGTTGTAACTTTGGTTCTTTGAGTCTAGAAACTTGAAATTATTTAAAAATAAAAACTTTAATTTTATAGCGACTATACAGGAAAGAATTTATCTCATTCTTGATGATATGAGAAAAGAAAGTTTTGAAAAACATACTTTGTATGAATCACACCTTTTTCTTTTTTTACTTCCGTAACTTTTCCTTGCGTATCCAATAATAATAATAAGCTATTAGGATTGACACGATGCTTCCTACCACACCGTTTAACATGAGCTGCTCGAAACTGAAAAGCTGACAACTTTCAAATATAAATTTCAACAACTCCAACAAAATTTTTCGGAAGGAAAATCTGACCAATACCCATGCACACAGTAATAATTTCAGAAACATATTCTATGTCCTTTTAATGTGTATTGGTAAGGCGGGGTAAAGTTATTAGCATCCAATTAAATGATTTATTTGAAGAAAAACTTACAGGACCTTGTTCTAAAGGTTCACCGCATATTGGACAATCCACTACTTTATTCCATTTCTCTTTTTTTTCTTCATATTTTTTGCGCGCTTCTTGTTGATCCAAACAATAATTTATATGTAATGACTTGCGCACATCATCCAAACACTTCAAATTCTTAAATAGAAGAGGTTCTATAGATCTAGGCTTGTAAACTAATGCAACTGGAAATATACAAAACACTCAATGTGCAAATTAAAAAGACAAAATCAATTCCTGATACAAGTTTAAGAGAATAATCCTCAAATTATTATTATTAGCAAATACAAACAAGGTACACAAAACTACCTTCAAGCATAATGAAAATTAACTGATAATAATAACATGTTAGTGAAAACGTTTTTTAATGTGCGGAAAAGAGTAATTTTCATCATTATAATAGAATAAACTTGCCTTTTTGCATACAAAACATTTATCTTTCTCACTATCCGGTAAGAAAAAATCATTTGAATTTTCAGGCTCCACATCCTTTTCACTTTCAGATTTGCACTTATTTCTTCTGAAACACTAATCAAAATTCATTGTTGACAAGTAAAAATACTTTCCATTACGTCTAAAAAGTTGCTTTTAAATGCTAATCATGAAATATCATAATAACAGGCTCATGGTTTCATGAGAATAATCTTGAGATTAATGAAGCAATACTCTTACCTCGTAGTCTTCAGCGATTCGACCACGAAATCCGAGTCATCCATTGCAAAAAATGATCAGTTTGACTGACTTTTATACAGAAGTAATCCTTGTTTCAATATATTTTAAAGCGATAATTTTTTGAATATTTCAAAGAAAAAAGAACAAATAAGCACAGTGAGATATGATTCTAGCCTGCTCTTGTTCATTTCAGCCAAATCAAATCCATAAACTGATAATACGCAAAAAACCCAAGTCCAAAAAGTACCCAATCAACTACTATTCAGTCTTCTTTTTGAAATTTTGTAAACGCAGCATATCCAACAAGCAATAATACTGCTGTCAGAAAATCTTTTTGATTTAATTGCGCAAATTCAAAAACTGACCTTTATTTACCATTCTGCAACCTAATGTAATGAGCAATAGGTATTTCTAGGCTGTGCACCCGTGAATGATTTAACACCTCTATCAAAATGATTAATTTCTTTGTAAGTAATTCTTTACTGGGTAGCTAATTTAAATAAGCTTGTTGGATATGCTAGTTTACATTGGTTATAGAAGATAGGAGCTTCTGTTCAGTCTGATCGAAATTCTTTCAGAACTTTCAAATATTTAAACTTTTCAGCAATCCAAGTATTAAGTCCCAATTTTTGTGCAAAATTTGCATGCGTATATTACATAAAGTTGGACAGACTACCTTTTTATGAGTGTTTATACTTGAACATTAATTCAGTCTCAACACTGTATCAAATAGCTGATAGTATAGTATTAAATGGAGTGGAAATGATTTCTGATTCAAACATGCGTACTTACACAACTGATCCAGAATGACCTGGTCAATTTGGTTCATTCTGAGAGAATGCCCATTGTAAATACTTGTTTCATTTGGCAGATTTTCTAATCAAAGTTTAGGAGAGTTATATCCGTTATATTTTTATTGCAACCAGTGATAATTCTGATTTTGCCCATCAAATTAGTAGTAATTCAAGATTGCGTGAACTAATTTTTCATCACATTTTTTCACTAAAATGGATTTGAGGAATCAAAGGCCGTGCAAGCATTGATTACTGTTGGTCTGTGGAACGATTTGCAATATTTTTGACTGGATCGGAACTTGAAAGACGACGTGTGATATTTCTGCCTTAAAAATTGTCATTATTCTCACAGCACAGATTTTTTTCAAAAATATATTTGAAAAAAGGAAATCAGCAAAAGGATGCGTGGAAAAAGAAATAGAATTTACGTAAAACACGATGTCCACAGTGACGACACACGACAAAACCTCTTTCTTTATTATGATGGCTTGATCGCGCAATTATCGCTATAGCACTTTTACGTGATGCATTGTTTTTGAAGTGACTACTGACAGTAACCAAGGGAATAGCGCAATTTGGCGCGTAATTTTCTGATTGAGCTTCTACAGATCAATTATTTTTATCTTATATTTTGATCAAGGCCTTTCTTACTTTATTAAGGCAGGATTATTTTATCAAGTGCTTCGAAGTTTGGAAAGTTAAATTTTTATGGCTCACAGAATTTATAGGCCATCTTATGATTTTACTTATTTTTATTTCTAACAATTTATTGCCAATGCTAATACGTAAGGATAATAATTATTGAACTGAGAGAAAGCTATAAATTTTTAAAGTACAAAAATTTGAGAAAAGATTATGAATCAGTCTACCACTAGCTGCTATCCAGGACTTTGTATGGCAGCGCCTTTGACGTGATGGTTGGTTAATTTTTTTACAGGTGCATTTTTCACGTGAATAGTGCTAAATGGGATAATTTGAAACCATGCAATTGACTTTCAGCATTCAACTTAATAATTATTTTAAAATAGAGAACGCTAATCCATAAAAATTTTTAAGTTACTGCAAATAGACAGATGCAGTAGTAGCAAGTAGTTATTGATGAATAATCACAGAATTTTCGATGGAAAAATTGCTTATTCAGAACGTGTAACAATGAGTACTGAGTAGTAGTTTAACCAGAATACGCAATTGATTGTGCGCTGACCTTTAAGTTTTGGCTAACCTTTGTCTTGGGTCTGCGATGCCGACACTGCTTGTTTAAGTGGTCAGTATTATAATGACACTTTGCATACTGGTGGCACTAAAATAGAAATCAACAACGATTTTACATTTAAATATTTATAAAAATTATTTAAATATTATTTGCTAATACTGACACTTCGAGCTGTGTGGGCGCTTTCATCGCCTCTTGTCTTGACCTGTTGAACTTTTTTCGCTACAATCTTAACCGAACCACAATTATTCTTCTGCAATACTCCTTTAGCAACCGTAAATCCTTCCTAAAAATTGACATCTGACCTTTTTACTCGGGATATTCCTTAACAGATTATTGTACCCACTATTAACATTTATGCAAGTAATCAATGGTAAACTGTGCATAAATGTATTACAGTTTTATGCACCTAAAATAGTGCATTTTTTCCTACAACAGTGGATAAAATTCAAAATTTGTCTTTATTGCATTAAATTGTGGAAGCAGACGTTAAAGCATTTTTTGGAATACTACAGATAAAGATTTCGAGCAATTTTTCTTGCATTATTTAGTTTGAAAGAAAGCTACCAATTCTGTTTGAAATTGGCGAACAAATTTGCACATAAAAAAGTACTGTGAAAAGGATTTATTTGTTAAAAATTTAAGTGCAAACTTACTTTACTTATCATTTTACAACATTGACCTGAACAGCGGCCTAGGTTGCAACTCATTGTTGGGTATAGAGAAGGTCGAGAACAGTGTGGATTGGCATTGTATGGTAAATCATTGTGGTTACATTTTTTGTGAATAGATACCGCATGTTGCACTGTATTGTGGGATCTTGCAACTGGTTTGTTACACGTCGTAACAGGCATTTTCACGTTTCTCGAAAGACGATGCAAATTACACGAATTTGGTAAATTTGCAATTGAGTTATTTGAAGGTTTCGATTCTGTCACTTTCATCGCGGCATTATTTCTACTTCTTGATTCGTATGCATCATTCCCTGTGCTTAAAGCTTGCCGAGAACAGTTGTGGCACATGACCGATTCCCTGCCATCATTGCAGAATGCTTTTGCTTCAGATTCTTCAATACCGATCTCATTCATCATTTGGGGCCATTTTTGAATATTTTCTTGTCTGTAATCATCAGAGTTTGCTTGCTTTTTGCACTCATTCAATTCTTCTTCAATATATTCATTTCCCGTTCTTATGTCTACCTGAAAAGCTGCTGCAGATATTTTTATTTCTTCATCTTAATTTCTTCCTGATGCTCACAAAATACAACAATAGTTATCACAAGTACTGCATCCTGTCCTCACTTCCATAACATCTCGTTAATGTAAGTAATAATTTATAATAATTGTTTTTTAAACAGTGTTCATCTTTGTTTCCCTACTACTTATATTAATACAATAAATAAATCTTATTTAATTTATTATTATTATTATTATTGTTATCATTATTATTAGTATTGTTTCAAGATTAATTACTGATTGTTGACAAAAGTAATAGAAGTACTAGTGTCATGATTACATATTTTCTAATATCCTCAAAATCAACACTACACACCTGAGAGCCCATAATTTTGGTTAAGAATCAGTGTGCACTGAGTGAAAGCCACCACTTATCAGCAAATTATAAAATATTAATGACAATACTAATAACTATGACAAGTTTTAATAGAAGTCAAATGAACTATTCATTATTCAATTCATAATGAATCTTACTTTACAAGTATCACGAGAAAAAACGAGGTCTGGGATTTAGACTTCCTCCTTTTCAGTAGTTTGGCTATGAACTCAATTGAAGAACTATTTGATTAAAAGTAACTTTTCTAGCAATACTAAGATAATATAAAAAGTCTAAGTGAAGGAGAGTGCCAAATTCTGCATTTCACTGGTTATCCGTCATAATCTCAAAATAATATCAAGCCTTTTCTCCAAGAACTTCGCCTTTTCTTCAGGAACTTCAACTTCTGTTGATTTCATATGAATCGCAGCAAGCAGCATCATAAATGTCTTTGCAATCTTTTTGCTTTTATTAATAAATTTGTCGATTGAGAATAAATTTGAAGTCATTTCTGAACAATAATTGCTTCTGTTTCACTATGACTGGCAATTGCAAGTTATCCAAATGCGTGATGATAACAAATATACTGCAGACATTCAAACTGAGATAGCACGTACAACTGATAGCGATAACAACTTCTAAGTGAATAAAATGAGAAGAGCAAGAGAAAATAACTTTTTGCTCGCTAAGCTTTTATTACAATTAAAAGAATCAAGAAACTGGCGAGATCACTTTAGCACTAGCATTGCTTCATGTCCCATACAGAAAAATTACGTTATTATTTATCGTAATAATTGCAAGAGAAGTAATATGAAAAGTATTAGATAAAAAGTATTCAATTTGTCAAAGTTTAAAGAAGAGTTTCAGTTCTTTTCAAATAAACTTGAGCATAAATTTGGATTTAATAATTTGATAAGTTAAAATTTCATTTTAAGATGTAGCGAAAAACATGAGAATACTTCTATCTACTAAATTTGATGTATACTTTTCTATTCAAACTTCAACAAATTTAATGATTTGCAGCAAAAAATTGTAGCAGGATTCAAGCAGACCAAAACAACAAGTGATTCACAGCATCATCGTTTTCACGTTTGTCACCGGTAACTTCTAAAGTATTACTAAAGAATCCCTCACCACCACTGACAACGAATGTCTGAAACAATGCAAAAATTTTATTTATGTATATAAAAATTGAATAAATATAAGCAATTTTACCTGTTCAGTTTGTTGTAATTTAGGAGCATTTAGTGACATTCGTTGACGTCTTGAATCGAAAAGAGTTGTCGTGGCGGAAACGGTTGTTAGGAATCTACAAGGCCCAACATGGCCTGCTCCACATACTGAATTTGACAGAAGATTACTTACTAAAGTTTCACAGATATCATTTAAGCAATATAAGCCAGAAAGTATTCTCTTGTGAGTTGAGATATTTTTGCTATCTAATTATTTTCATTTATTGGATCTTTCAAAAACTCCCAGAAAATCAGACAACAGAAGATGACAATAGACTCGAATATCAGAATGAAGAGATCACTGAGTTATTTTCACAGCGATTTTACACAAATTATTACGGAATCAGTGCAGCACTTGACAATTTTCACTTACTTTATTGACGAAAATTCAGTTTTTTAGTACTTGAACATGGGCTGACTAGAAGCTAATTTATTCTGAACTCTATAAAATGCTTATTGGTTGTGCTGTATGATCTAAAGTTCATAATTCTCATTAAATTTATACAACCATTAAGGGAGGAAGTCCAGTTCAATCTGCTTGTCCTACAAATGTTTGTGTTGATTATTATTCCAGCAGAAGTAGCGATCCAAAGTCGATTATTGCAACATAGAAGTGATGTTACTTTTAAACTGCCCATTTTGTGCTTCCGAATAATATCTTCACTTGCTGTAAAGCATTTAAATGCATGTAAAGTAGTCAATAAATGACCTTAATTGCTTATTTCTTCTCATAATTAATAAAAGTGTGTGAGTGTATTTTCAAACGATACTTAAATTTTAACCTTCATTGGGCATTTCATTAGCTGACATCTTTGTTATCATAATTTCAATGCTTTTAATACAGCAGAATTGTACCATTTGAATAAATACATAGCATGTTTAGTTATTCATGTATATTATTATGAACAAAACTGAATTGTCAAGGCATATTTTGATCATCAATCTGATAAGTTTAGAGATAATTCTTGCTGAATGAATGAAAAAACTTGTAAAATTACTGGATAAAACTTTGTTGACAACAGGGGAAATGCTGAATTCTTGTTGACATTCTAAAGTAAACGCATCTACCACTTTGATAATTGATGATTTGTTCATAGCAACAAAAATTGTGGAGCCAACGACCGTAAGACAGGCCACTGTGTCAAGAGAGCTCGTGCTCACTGCCATTTGCTTCTTCAACAAGTAAATAAAAGTAATCCTCTCAATACAACATTCTTTGATAGCTCTAAAAAGTTGAAATGTTTCTATTTCCGATCATTTATGATTGTTCGATGATCAAATTTGTTAGCGTAATTTGAATTAATTTCATTTCGTGAATAGCAAGCAGCAAAGCTTCCGTTACAAATTCATTGCAGCACGCAAAAAAATGATAAAGCTATTTTTTTAAATCAAAAGGCGCTTTTTTTGGAAGAAAACAAACCTCAATTTGTAGCAGAGAAGCATTTAGCAAATACAGAGAATTGCCTGATGCAAAGCATACTCGAGAAACTGCTACGCTCATAGGCCTCAGACGTTTACGGACATCCATTTGGACTGCTTGTGGGTTATTCAAGTCCCAAGCGCCTTCTGAAAACTTTTGCAGCAATTATCGCAAATATTTTTAAAACTTGATGAATATCGCCTACAGGCATCGAAAGTCTTGTACAGTTTTATTCTCAAAAATAGTGCCAAGTAAAGTAAATTACTTAAAACTATCTTGTTATGTTATTCTTGTAACTGATCAGAGTTTTGAAATAAAAATATTCTCTCAATAAAGTAAATTTTGTATAACTTAAAAATGCTGCTATAGCCTAGAGTGACTGCCATTTGCATTTGTATAAAATTCTTACCGTTATTTCTTTGAAAATACAAAAGTTGAGCATGTGAACTTGAGGAGGTCGAGACGAAAACTTTTTCTTCAAAATAAACAATGTCGTCTACAGGCATCGAAAGTCTTGCCACTCTCTCGCATGCTTTCAATCGAACATTGTCCAGAAAGTTGAATACAAATATCCTAAAAAGCAGACAGCACAGATATTTGAATGGTCAGAACTGACCAATCGATATGACCAGATAATTTAGAAGAAGTAATTCGATATTTTCACGATAAAGGAAAATAATTAAATTAGTAAGCAATAATATTTATCATTTTACAATTATATAATGGGATAAATGCTTTTTGCTAACTGCTTTACAAATTCTTTCATCTTTTGAAGATTTTAATAACTTTAATGCATTTAATGCATAATACTCTCAAAAACACTAGCAACTCTATTTTAGCTGTTATTTTTATAAAAATATAATTTTTCAAAATTTTGAGATGCTAAGGGCTCATTTTTAAAGTTTCTTTTTTGAGTATTTAAATTCAAACTTTCACTGCAACATTTGAACTGTTTTCACACTGTTGACCCTTACTTAATACTGGAAACAATTATCAATCTCTCTCTGTTTCAGAACTTGAACATTTTAGCTCTCAAAAGCAATAAATTAACTACAATCATAAATTCCACATTCTGTTATTTATTAATTCCTTAATGAATTAATTGACTTACTCGCCATCTTCATTACCAATCCATACAGTGGAGGGTATATTTCGTGTAGCTGTTTCAAAGTCGGACTCATCCGATTCCGTTGAACTGCTAAACTGACAATACTATATACGTTGCAAAACACTGAATTCAACTTCAAGAAATTAGTTCAAATTAAAAAAATTCTACAACTCAGTAGTGTTCATGTGCAAAGCTGACCTGTCCAGTTCTAATCCAGGTATGTCATGCGTGAGTGAGTTTGTCAGCTTCACAGTTTTCCTTTTTTTCCTAAATTTTTCTCAAATTAATCACTTGTTTTTTCAAATTGCATAGCTTCCACTTTTTCATATCACGACGGAGTGTTCATAGATATTATCAACCATTTCACAAGTATTTACTGCCTTCTTTGATAGATTCTGATCACTCCATAAACACTGAATGATATCCGAAAACTCGGCAGTTATGTCAATATTCCGTCTTTGTGCAACATCTCCCCATTATAATGAATTTAGTCAATGGTAAAGCTTTATATGTTTAGGACATTAAATGCTTTTTAGGTAAGTTGACAAGTCAACCAGTGAAAATCTATGTCCAAATGTTTAATATTTCTGTAATTCTTATAAAGTTGCAATTACTTGAATTGGCTTTAAGCTAACACACCTCAAGTATGCTCAAGTACGGTCTTAAATGAAATGAATGAGCAATACAGTATGAAATTGAACGAATAATACAAGTAACAGCATTGCCTGGGCGCAGGGACGGAACAAATCGCGACAATGGCAGCGTTACCAATGCTTGTATTGCTTTCTATGGTGGGTTCCCCGCTAACATTCACTACGGCAAGCTGACCCGAAAACTTGTCAGACGTGCACACCCAGACGTAAGGAGCTCCCTCAGCACTTTTTCCTACGGTCGGTGTTGCCACGGAAAACTAAATTTTCAGCACTTTGTCAACTTCCCTCAATTATATTTCAATTCAGAGTAATTAAATAAGTGTCTTAAGTAAGACAGTTTAAACGCCAACGTATTAATGGACGCAACTCACTTTTAGACCAGGCCGAGTTCTATGCGTTACAATCGATTTCAAATGATTTGCTCTTTCCTCATTGTGCATTGTATTTTCTGTAAAACAGTTCGAGAGATTAATTTCAAATCAAGTATTTATGCGATTTTTTAAGCAAGAAATTTCAGTCTTTAGACTTGTTTATAAGTTGAATTTATTATTTTAGTAACAATTCAATTCCAATTAAGTTGCAAAACTGAGTTCAAACTTAGATTAGTTTTCGCTTCGATTAATGCATTTTCCCAAACAGCTCGACGATCAGAATTGGGGAACTGAATTATGAGCATTCCATTGCCATTTCTACAAAGCGATATTCAAATAATCACCGAAATTAAACAGTATGTCTGTCTAAAGATGCATCGCTATGTCAGTTTTGTCATCTACTGTATGAGTAGCACATTGGTCACAATCAGAGAGTGTCCCTACACTCTATGGATTTCCATATTTTTGTTACTTATTTGCTGTTTTGAGAAATTCTTACTGCTCCGAGAGTACCGAATGATCTCGAGATGTCGGGAATCATATCAACATCTCTTGTCTTTCTCATCGATATTTTTAATGTAATTGAATTTAATGTTATATTTCAAATCAAACTTAAGGAATCACTTTGTCTTCTGTCTTCTCAATACCATTCATTCAATCACATTGTATAAAATCATCGAAACTTTTTTAAACTTTCACACTTTTTTTCTTTGAATTGAAAACGTTAAATTTTTTTAGGAAGAAAACTAATTCAAAAGTGTTGCACGTTGTTTTAATTTGTAGTTGCACGGTGGTGAGGTCTGGATTAGATGTCAGCTGTTTCTGCAAAGCATTCCTTCGATGTAAAGTTTCATTCTCCAAATTGTTCAATATATTCGTTAACTCCTGCAAAAGTTTTGTATCAGTAACTCGAATGCAATGTTCTACGCAATGCAAATTCAGTTACACGTTGCAATATCATCTCAGAAGAATGTGAATTACTTTTTACAGTAAGATTCATATATCACACTGAATTTCAATAATAATTTTTTTCAAAAAGCTTGCAATTACTAATAGTCAACGCGTACAATATTTGATTTCTTGAGCATTTTCGATAATGCAACCATTTTATTTACAATATTTATATCTTCTTGTGCACTTTGCATTTCTTGTTCCGCTGCGTGCAGTAATGATAATGTATCTATAAGACTGATATTCTCAAATTAAACTATTGACAAGCAATGTAAATCATTCAAATTGATCGATTTAAATCCAGCAGCAACTGATAATTTGCATATTTACTCTCTAACTATTTATCAGCAAAACTGCAAGTGCTTATTTTTGGAAGGCAGTTGAGTACTGAATTTCATATCACATCATCATGCACAAATCGTCATATTTTTTGTTCCACACGAGAAATTTTGACCGATATGAAAGACATTTCAATCAGTATTGAATACTGAATTGTATTTTCACCTTTTGCAATGACAACATCATCGAGTGAGATCTTAAAAAGCAATTTGAAACGATTGTTATCCAAAAAATCCGATGATTGCAACCTGAAGTAACTTCAGTCTTTTACTTTCTATTCATTCTCACTGCAATGAATGTCACATTTTTAATTCATATCTCGCCTTGTAGATCACTTTTTAGTGAGCAATCACTTCAGTTTTGGAATTATAATATAAGTCCATCAAATACCAAAAAATCCAATTGCAATGAATTCTAAAGTTCGAATGATAAGCGTTCAGTGCTTTAATTCCAAAATCCAAATTAACAATACTTACGAAAAATTAGAATTTGAATTATTTCTGCTGGGAGGTAACTTTCTCCTAACACTCGTAATTATGATCTGATCTGACATTAAAAACAAACAACGCTGCTTGTTCTCCCTTGCACCTAACACGGTCACAACATCATAGCGAGTAAACGATCGCCCGGTTGTTACCAGCTGAACGGATTAAAGCTTCTTAGAGCGTAAATTGGTTTCAGACAGAAATAAATGTTTTAAGAAATTTGATCGGTAACAAATATGACAACAAAAATAATGGAAGATTATTGCTGCAATTTGGTGAAGTTTTTGCAGTAAAACTTTTCGAAAGTTTTCTTTTTTTTGACTAAAAAATTATTAGCAAAAAAAAATATTTGGAAATAAATTTCAAAAATCATTTAAATTCAAAATGAATTATGGATGTGTGAGGAATATGTGAAAAAAGCTACAAAAAATATTAGTAATTATTATTGATGTAAATTTGTATTGAATTTACGTCGTCAAGGCCATCAACAATAGCTTCAATCTCGCGCAGCCTTTGTTCCATTTCTTCACTTTCCTCCTTCTGGCGATTAATTTTGGTGGCTAACTCGTGGATATATTTTTGAGCTAATAACAAACTGTCATAGTCAGCGTGTTCTACCGATGTGTGCTTGATTATTTGCTACAAACTGTCTCAAGTAATTTACTAAATGTTAATTGGTGGCCGTGATCTGATTTAATTTAATTTAATTTAGTTTAATGTACACTTAATTTAATCATGTAATTGCTTAATGTCATTGAACATTAACTTGATTTGAATTAATTTAATTTAATCCAATAATAATCGTGTTAAACACTTAATTTGATAAAATTATTATCTCAATTCAATAAATATTTTATTTAATTAAAAACTCGTTTAACATCAACTTGATTTAATTTAATTTGCTTTGATCAAATAAATGTATTCAACTGTGATCATGAAATTTGATCGAATGAAGTTAACCGTTAATGTAATCAAATTAATTTTTAATCAATCACTCTTAATCGAATCAGTTGTTTCATTTAATTAAATGATCCATTAAGTCAATCAAATAATTATTATTTGTTGTTAATTTGCTATTTTAATTTTATCTCGATCATTTTTATCAGATATTGCAATTTGAGCAATTTTGATCTTTTGTTAAAGGATTAGGCAAATGTTTGGAATGTATTAAATATGTCAAAAATCCAACTTTTACAACCAACTCATAACGAGGGACTCGTTGTATTGGTGAAATGAGCAATGAATCCAAGTCAAGCTTGTTTCGATGATCCCTTCGGCATCGCTGAAAAAGTTTAGTTGCAAAAAAATATGGAAAGCTTGAAATTTGCATATAAACTATCGGTTTTAATTTCCACAAATCATCACTGAACAAATGAAGT